ATTCTGTTTTAGACAATGTTTTTTAAAAATGGTGGGACAATTTGTGTTTTGTAATAACTCTTAATTATTTTTTATCATGGAGTTTAATTGTTGTACACCTGGTTTCCGAAGGATACAATGGTAAGTAAATTAAACATATCTACTTACAGTTATAGATTTTTAAATTAGTACTGCTAATAAATGCTACTTGCAGAGCAGTTATTTAATTTTTTTACGGTGCATGTAAGGAATTAAGGACGCGCGTTTTATATTAGCATGATCAGCAGATGATTACATCTGATTTAATTTGTTTTGATTATTTCAGGTCCCAAACGGAAACAAACTGGGAATCTTGCCTACACCAAAATTATATACCTAGCCGTTTCCAATTCACTTCAAAGGGAGGAAAATTATGTAAAACTGCCTGCTATTTGCTGAAAACCGCCAAAGATTAAATTATAACTGTAACAACTTAATATATACTATTTCTAGCATTTTTAATATATTTTTTAATTAATATCCGACATATAAGAACACTTTGTATGCTTTTAATTCAGTTGATTTATCGTTTATAATATGTTCGACCTAATTAAAAGCACACAAAGTGTTCTTACATGTATGTCTAAATTTATTTTTAATTAACTAAAACAACCCCCCTTCCCCGAACCCCTCTCTTCCATTAGTATTTCTTCCTCCGTCTACCAGAGGCGCTCTTGTATAATAAAATTGAAATGTATTATAAGTTGCCTATCTATTTAATAGTATAAGTCTTTTATCTATGCCTGCGTCTATCCTACATCATAGTTTTACACTTTTTAAATAAAATTAGAACGGCACTGATAAACCGGAAATTAAGTCGGCCATTTTAGAGGAACTTCGCGGTGGATTTAAGATTTTTGATATGCTCCTTCTTTATTTTTTTTTTATTCTAAGGAATAAAGTAAAAAAATACCGAGGGTGCCAATTAAAAATCAAAAGTTGTAGACATTTCCGGTGAAACAAAAAGTGATCGAGAACAATTGAATACATCAATCAATCGTGATTTATGTCAAATACTAAACAACCAAATCTCGTTTTTTTTTATCTGAAAAGAATAAAGAAAGAAAAACCCGGTATAATTAAAAAAAACATTTAAATGAAATATTCCAAATTTCCCTGTAACTGTAATATAAAATTGAATAAAACTATGTTAACTTTATGATTTTTTTGCTGATCTAAGAAAATTGAATTTATTTAAAACTGTTTACTGTCTGTGCAAACTGAACAATTTTCGACAAAAACAATATAAAAATATTACCCTAACTCCACTAAAACTACCAAACTACCTTGTCGGTAAAAAAAGGGATCTGAATTAAATTTAAAACCCATTTTTTTCAAACAAAAACTTTCTTGGAGTCCCGGCTAACGGAGAAAAACATTTTTCAAACCCTTTTTATAAGCATACCCCGTTGAGTTAGTAGTACTCATGGGTCTATTTGGTTAAATGGCCATCTCGAAAACATCGAAATTTATTCTGGATTTATGTAAGCAAGTAGGTTTTTTTTCCTATAAAAAAACTACGTTTATTTTTTCAATTTGTTAGTACTTAAAAACCCTATTATTTTTTCTAATATACTCAGTGGCAAAAAAAGGAGAACATGTAAAATGGTTTTTAAATTCCTTGCTGTGTTAACATATTCCACAGGGTGTTCTAATTAATATAGGGCGTGCCATTTAAGAAATTTTAATTTTTTTAATTTTAAGTATAGTTGGAATTCATAAATATATTTTGAACACCCTGTAGCATATAACTAAAATATCTTTACATATATCTTTTTCTTCAACTCTATAAAACTCTCCTACAAAATTTTAGTAGTCTAACTTCATAAACAATGGAGTCACTGACGTTTTTTTACAACACTGAAATCTAGCAATTGTTTAAACAAATTCAAATATTACAAAAACTATTAATTTTAGGTATATAATATTATATATAAAAGATATAGAATTTTAGCAGAATCTAAAAGTGAAATAAAAAATAGGGTGTTGCATTTAAAAAAAAACATATTGTTATATTCGCCACACTTTTTTGAAGCACCCTGTAATAATTTTAAAATTTGTATCTTAACCGTCCCTATAACTTTTATATTTAATATATTTTTCTAAACCTCGAAACAAATGAGATAATGGACTTTATCGTTGACTCACCCTGTATAATGGGTGGTCCGAATTCTATTCCGGAACCTTTGGCAGCATATATAAAGCGCCCTCTACAAGTAGGAGCCATATTGACATCGAAATCAAATTTCTCATGTCAAAAAACTCGAAGACACCAATTTTCATCCAAATATTGAGGTTACTTCAGAAATTATTTGGAAAAAATAGAAATAAAAATGAAACTTCTACACCCTGTATCTCCGAAACTTACCATTTTAGGACATACATATATAAGAACTTTTTTACTTATTTTTATCTGCAGATTATTTTGCCGAAGTTTCCGGAATACAGTTTGGACCACCCTGTATATAGATTTTTTTTGCCACTCAGTATATTTTTATCAATTAAAGAAAGTGCTTATTGAAATATAAGAAAAGCTTCTAAACTAAACAGCTATGCTAAATATTTAGAGACTAAAATAAACTAAGCAAACCGAATCATAAACTTGCTCCCTATTATTAACTGTGGAAAGCCTGAGATAACCGGGAGAAATAGAGGAAAATTCGAATTATGCTCGGGTCTGGAAAACGAATGCTTAGTGGTTAGACAGAAACGAACTATGCGGCTCTTACAACAACGCACGGCGCTTTTCCAGATAGCTGGACGGATGCGGAATCGGATTCCGGGCAAGGTCGACTTCTGGAGAATTCCGGAAAGTTGTCGGCTAGGCGGAGAAACTCCAAGAAATACTCCGGAGTCGTCGAGTTGATTTGCTAACTTTGCTCGTATTTGGTTAATCTTTGAGGAGTGTATGGATGGCTTAAAAAATTATTTCTTAAGTTAATAATTACACTGAAAAAATGAATTTGTGAATTTATAAACAATATTGAGGGTTATTTTTTGCCAATATACATGTACTGATTTCTTTCGAAAATCGACAACTATGAAACTATGAACCCTTCCCGGACACAAACGGTACATTGTGAAACAGGAAATTGTAGAGAGAAACAAGCCCCATAACATAGGATACAACATTTTAATGAACAGTGCTTTCCATCAAATCAATAAAATTAAAAATATGCGAAATAATATACATGTACTGATTTCTTTCGTAAATCGACAACTATGAAACTATGAACCCTTCCCGGACACAAACGGTACATTATGAGACAGGAAATTGTAGAGAGAAACAAGCCCTATAACATAGGATACAACATTTTAATGAACAGCGCTTTCCATAAAATCAATAAAATAGAAAATAGACGAAATAATATACATGTACTGATTTCTTTCGAAAATTCACAACTATGAAACTATGAACCCTTCCCGGACACAAACGGTACATTGTGAAACAGGAAATTGTAGAAAGAAACAAGCCCTATAACATAGGATACAACATTTTAAATGAACAATGCTTCCAATAAAATCAATAAAATGAAAAATATACGAAATAATATACATGTACTGATTTCTTTCGAAAATCCACAACTATGAAACTATGAATCCTTCCCGGACACAAACGGTACATTGTGAAACAGGAAATTGTAGAGAGAAACATGGCCCTATAACATAGGATACATTTTAATGAACAGTGCTTTCCATATTTCAATAGCCACAGATTATTGTAGTAAATTTACTATTCGTTCTTTAGTTTTACAACTCTTTTACTATTTCATTTCATAGCCATCGCTGACGCCGTTTTTATTCGATCCTACGGTATATCTTTATACCAATATCTCATAGTATACAGAGTGAGTTTCCTACGATGTTCTCTATGGGTATCCCCATTTAACCGACTCTCTATCTCCAGTAGTTTCCGAGTTGCCCATAGAGAACATCGTAGGAAACTCACCCTGTATATATCACCAATATCTCATAGTAAATTTCGCAAACTTCTTGTAATATTACTATAGATTTTTTAAATTCAAGAATCAGTTTCAATCAAAAAAAAAACATCTTATCTCAAAAAAAAAACACTATTAATAATTAAAAACGATATGTAATTTAGATAGTGTCGCTTTATCTAGGAAAATATCAAATTTAACTCGGCTAAGCTCACGAAGCATTATCTCCCTAGTCAACGTTTGTTCGCGAGTAGGAACTTTAAAAGACCTACAGTTTGGGAAGTTTTGCACTTTTAAAATTGTAAAACGTAATCTGGAGATTGAAGTTTTATCTTTTATAGGGTGTTCTTCGAAGCCTCCGAGGAGACTTTTTCAGTGAAGCAAAATGTTTTCAGAGGTTTTTCTTGTTTATAGGGAAAATAAACTTATTCAGGGACGAATTCTGTTAAAAAAAGTTAACTTTTGAAGGTTGTTTCTGACACAAAAATAGGAAGATAAATTTTTGTTTCTTGAAAAAAAAATTGTAATTTTTGTTACTGGAAAATAAATAAATAAATGCCTTTATTGTCAAAAATTTTTTCAATTTGTAGACAAAGGTAAACTTAACAAACAAAGTAAACTAACAAGGTACACAAACAAACAAACAAAAGATAATACAAAATAATATTGTCAGTCTTATTGTTTAAAATAAACATTTATAAATGTTTACAATGTCAAAGAACAAAAAAATAAAAACAACATTCAAAAATATTTAGCTAGTTTATAGTAAATATATAATAAGTATATATGGATAAGTGCTTACGTGTGTAATGCTTACGTGTATTAGGTAAACGGATTCAAATATAAATAAGGAAGGAAGAGTTAGTATTTTTAATTTTTTAAAAAAGTCCTGGCAATGAGGTCTGCTGTTTAGTCCCAGTGAATATCGAACAGCTCTTTTCTGGAGCTTGAAAATGCGGTCAAATTTAGTCGCCCAACACGTTTTTATTTGTAGGTTTTAAAAAAATGTTGTTGTTAAATCAGATTCTCTATTATTTTCAGAAGCGCAGGCTGAAATCCAAGGTGCTCCAGACCTCTACATCAGATCTGGCTCCACTCTACGCCTAGTCTGCACTCTAAAACACTCTACCGAGCCTCCTGAGTTCGTGTTCTGGTTTCACGAACAACGCATGATCAACTACGACCCAGGAGTTACTGTGAAAGAAGGTCGAAGTTCCAGTGTTCTACATTTGCAGGATGCCGAAAAAATACACGACGGAAATTACACGTGCGGGCCTAGCAATGCTGTACCGGCCAGCATTAATGTGCACGTGCTGAATGCTACTGCAGGTGGGTGATTCCTTAGAATTTAGAATGTATTCTTTAGTCATAATTCATAATACAGTCTCAGGGCTTTTGACAAAAGCCAGTATCTGAAACGGATTTATAGAGGTTATTTCTCCATTTCAGGAGCATTACTGCATATACTGATAGGTGATTCTACAATATTTTTAACATTATTATTTCCTGTTTCTTTCATAAAAATGTTAAAAAATATTTATCCCGGTCATTTTTAATTTTTAATTTTAAATTTTTAAGTAAGATAAAAAAAATTACCCTTAGAGAAATACAAGCTGAGAGTTATGAATACGGAAAACAGACAACAGAATTAGGAGTTAGCAAGAAACTGCAAGAATTGCAAGAAAGATGATAAAATTGACACTCCAAGAGACAGTAAATGAGGTCAAAGTCAACAAGAAAACAACGGAAAAAATTATAATCAGAGATGGACTAAGACAGGGGGTCCACTATCTTCAGTACTGTTTAGTGTAGTATTAGAAAAAGTTATAAAAGATGCGGGAATCAACAGAGAGGGCCTTTTGTATACAAAAAGACACCAATGCTTAGCATTTGCAGATGATTTAGTTATCTTAGCAAGAGCAAGAGATCGGAAAAAGCTGATATCGGTGACCAAAAGACTAGAGGATCAACCAGATGTCAGAAATGTCAGATCAACCAGATGTCAGAACTCAAGAAATTATGCCAGGAATAATGACAGGAAATAGATGTGTTAGCGCATTATAGAAAATAGAACGTAGAGAGTAAGAACATTTCTAGAACGTTTCAAAATCAGAATGTACCAAACAATGATACGACCAATAGTTCTGTATGCACGTGAAGCGTGGACGTTCAATGCAACGGAAAGTTCGAAGCTAGAGATTTTGAAAAGAAAAATACTGAGGAAGATTTTTGGAGGAAAGAAGATAGACAACATATGGACCAGAAGAACAAATGAAGAATTAAAGCAACTATATCGGACACCTGAGATGGCTGGGATTGAAAGAATGGCAGAAGCAAGAATTCCTAGTATGATAATGAAACGTGAAATAAGTAGAAAGTGAAGGAGGGTTAGACCGAGAACCAGATGAAAAAAGGATGTTGAAGAGGACTTGAGAAGGATAAGAGTGGATGGATGGAGAATAAAAGCGAAAGACAGAAACATATAGAGAAAGATAACCAATCAAGCCATGAGCCTTTGAGGCTTTAGAGCTATTATATATACAGGGTGTTTCAAAACAAATGCGAAAAACTTCATGGGGTGATTCCTCGTTCAAAATAAAGGGTAGTTTGCTTCATAAACGTTGGGTCAAAAGTCAACCATTAGGGAGATATCGCGGTACAAAGATGGCGGAAAAATAATGTTTTTATTTTTTATCTTGAAAACGAATAGAGATAGACTAATGAAATTTTATGGAAGCATTACTGTTATGAAAACACACTTTCTGGTAATTTTCTCACTTTTTTAAAATGAGTGGAAGGCGTTGAAATAAATTACCCCTATCATTCTTGTCAACGAAATTTAAAGAAAAATCTTATCAAATACATGCAAAAAAAATAATTTTGATAGTTTAGTTTGTTTTTTTATCTCTTGTGTTTTTTTTTTAATAAAACTGACCGATTTGAAATTAAAAAATAAAATGTAAAACATTACATGTCAGGACAGAAAACATTTTTAGATAAAGAATCTAGTGGGCTGCTGTGGAAACAGTTTTATTTCGTAATAATATCGTTACATTTTCTTCTGAACGATAACCTCTTAAAAATTATTTATATTATTTATTTTAATTAAGACAATTTTTAATTCTGTATTTTAATTCATGAAAGTATAAAATAATATCGTTAAAAAAATAAAAATGTTTTTTGTCCTGACATGTAATGCTTTACATTTTATTTTTTAATTTCAAATCGGCGAGTTTCATAAAAAAACACAAGAGATAAAAAAGTTTCTAAACAAACTAAATTATCCAAATTATTTTTTTTGCATGTGTTTGATAAGATTTTTCTTTAAATTTCGTTAACAAGTATGATAGGGGTAGTTTATTTCAACCCCTTCCACTCATTTTAAAAAGTGAGAAAATTACCAGAAAGTGTGTTTTCATAACAGTAATGCTTCCATAAAATTTCATTAGTCTATCTCTTTTCGTTTTCAAGATAAAAAATAAAAACATTATTTTTCCGCCATCTTTGTATCGCGATATCACCCTAATGGTTGACTTTTGACCCAACGTTTATGAAGCAAACTACCCTTTATTTTGAACAAGGAATCACCCCCTGAAGTTTTTTGCGTTTGTTCTGAAACACCCTGTATATTTCATGTTTCTTGAATAAATGTTAAAACATATTTATCTCGTCCATTTTTAAATAAGATAAAATAATTTATAAAATTCGAAAGAGGATCTACTCTGCTTTATTGAAAAACACAGAAACTGAAAGATATTTCGCTGAATAGGAGCAATTCGAGTAAATCTTGCTAATGAAGAAAATTGCGAGATTCTTTAATTGACGCTCACAATTAGGAAAAGCTGCTTAATTGGCAAAATCCGTTTAAAAGGCCGAGAAAGAAAATTATTATTCGTTTCGTTTTGCTCTTGGTTGTTAGTTATCAGTATTGAAAATTACTATTTTAATTATTTTTCAGCTTATAAACAGTATGTCCCCGGATTGTCTTTACAACAGGAAAAACTTTTTTATGACTGGCATTTCAAGAAAATTGTATTCTTCATAAACATTACCCTTGTTCTAAAATGGTTAATCCCTAATAATTGTTGTTTGTTTGTTGTTGTTGTTGTCTATTTCATTTAATTATACTTTATTTAAATTTTTTATAAAAATGGAAAGTTATTGTAATTTTTGTTGGTTTATCGAAAAATTTATACAAGCTCCTTTGAAGAAAGAGCAATCCCCAGACAAAAATTCCTCAAATTTGCATGTTATAAATTTAGATGCACGTTCCTCGTGTGTCTTCGTTTATATGTCTCCGTAATTTGTATATCCCGCATTTGTGTTAGGTATGTAAAATTTTCTTTTTTGTCCCAAAATATATTATGAAAAAAAAAAAAGATATTAAGAAAACGTCCTTGTTTGTTTGGTACCTTGGTATATATTCTGCATTAAAATTGGAAATAGAGGGTGTAGATGAAAAAATGGGAAGTGAGAATTTAGACGGTAATTAATTTTCTAAAAATAATAAATGCTCTTTGAATATAATAGTTTTTTTTTTTATTTGGCGTTATTTTACAAATGTAGTTTGATATACAGGGTGGGTCTTAAAAAAAGTGGGCAAACATTATTTACATCGCGATAAAAGAAACATATTTTCTCTTCTGTTTGCATTTCTTTTAGTATTCGTAACCATAGAGTTGAAAGTTGAAAATGACAATTCCAATCCAGTCAATATACAGACAATATTATCGTTTTTAGCAAAACGATAATATTACTAGCCCATTTGTATGCAAAAAGGAAACTATTTAAATCTTTATAAAAGAGTATACCATTAATTAAATATAACACCATTATTTCCACTCATATACTAATTAATTACATACTTAATTGTGTTCGTTAATAAATTATTATAAATAAATATGGATTTGAGTCAGAAATCAATATAATAATAAGTTATCAAATTAAAGTCTCTGTTGTTATAAATAATATTTATTAAAAAATGAAATATCATTTTGAAGGTGTTACTTTTTATCACACTGTCTAATGCCCATACAAAATTCAGTTTTTTAGTATTTGGAGCAATTATTATTAATCAACGCAAAAAATGGTATAATATAATGTGATAGACAATTAAATTGTGCATCTGATTCTCGTAAAATATACAGGGTGTTCCATTTAAATTAAAGAAGTTATTGACGTTTGAAGCTAATAATTATTTAAAATAAATTTTTAGACACTCTGTATAAGGTAGTATTATTTTTATTATTGCAACACAATAACTAATCAATAAATAACTTCATTAAATATTTAGTATTAAAAACATTGATACCCTTGGAGAAATGAAGCTTTAAAATTTTTACTGCAATTTCACAAAATTGAAAATATTTCAAAAACGGTAAGGTTTAAGTATAATAAACCTTAATCAAATTTACCTTTATTTTAGTCGTAGAAACTAAAAATGTAATAATATACAGGGTGTTCCATTTAAAAAAATACAACTTTGATATTTTTTATTTATTTGGGACACTCTGTATCTTGTAAAAATATTTTTAAATTGTAGCTCTAATAGTCGTTCAACGAACCCCAAACTTACAATTTGTAAAAATCTCATCGTTTAGCTACAATACTCCGTGTCGTATGTAGTGAACAACCCTGTATATGATCGAGGGGATTAAGAAATTATACCCTGGTTCAAAAAAGTTTTCTAAAATATACAGAAAAATTTGAGAAGAAAATGCACAATTTTCAACATCTCTTTATTGCAAAAAAACCTCATAGAAATACGCCATCCCTAAAAATATTTGCACTTATTTAACACTCTCCCTGTATAATAAAATTATAAATATTATTACGTCACATTTTTAGGTATATTTGATTATGGTAAATGAATTTCCATTCTGGCTAAAAATAACGCCTCTTATATTTTTCAAATCTCCAACCCAAACGATATTCCAAAATCAGCTAAAGCAAAGAAGGAAATAAAATTTCCTTTCCTTTTTGTATAAGAGAGCCTTGTAGTGATAAGGAATATAAATCAGGGCATTATATTTATTTTGCCTTTTAACGGATAAGTATGAAATATGAATAGGGTAAAAATATTGGTCGATAAATTTCATCGGCGTGGTAAAAGTTGGGGATGGTTTTTTAAAATAAAAAAAAAATAAGAAAATAGTAAACATCATCACAGTTACGTCATCATTATATAAGTTTTAGGGTATCTGAGATCAGTTCATATTGTTTAGAATATTTTAAGTACGTTCCTATATTATTGACTGTTGAAATTCCTATTTCTGAAGCATCAGCAACTCGCTATATAATTTTAAAACGCTCTCAATTTGTATTTTACATAGGAATATTACAGCTTTGCATTGTACCGGGTGGCCAACTAAGAATGAACGCCGGCTGTATCTCAGAAACTACTTATCGTATAACTTTGGGGAAAAAAATTCTAATAAGTAAATCGACCAAGGGAAATCGCTGAAAATTATTTTCAAGTTCGAAAAATTCCCGCTTGGGGGCGTTCCTCTAAGAGCCAATCAGAAAACAGGGGTTTTTCTCAAAAATATGCAGGTGAACAGGTATTTTAAATATTACTATCGTAATCATCAAGAAATTTGTAATTTTTTTGATATAAAGTATTTTGCTCTATCTCATAAAATAAAGTGGTGGGGGAAGGTTAAACTTGCTTTTATTAAAATAAGGATAACTCTTGTTTGGGTTAAGCGATTTAAACAAACTAGGGCTCGTTTATAAGAGCTTTTCTTCCTTAATGATCTACAGTGTAAATTTTGTTTCCATCATTTTTTTCGTGGTAGCCAGAGGGCGCTGTTTGACATCATAACAGATATTGCGCTTTTGCATAAAAAAATTAAATAGGAGACTATATTTCTGTTTACACAGTTAAATAGAGCACAAAATTTCCAAAATATCAGCGCAAACCGCAATTTTTTATTTTGTCTCTAACCGGAGATATTAAGAGAACAAATTATGTTAGGCTGCCGCTTAGGATTATATGGTCTAAAAATTATAGTAGTAGGCTAGGAAACAAAAAGAGGTAAATTAGTTACATCAAAATATCAAAACGTTTAAGTTCAGTTTTCATACATCTGAATTTCGGGTTTTTTCTTCTTTTTTTTTGCTTGGTCTGGACCCGGCATTGGATTAACCATTTACTACCACTTTATAAAAAAATGTGTATACCTATGTGGCGGATTCATCTATCCAAAAAAATCCTTATGGGTTTTTCGCCACTGCACTGCAAGAAAAATCTACAAAATAAAATAGTTATTTTTTGTAAACACTTCTGGCGTTAAACCTAAACGGACGCTACTTGTCAGAAGTTGTGTTTACAGTAATAAAAATTTGCCTAACAAAGAAAAAAATGCTTACGCCAAAATAACAGAAAATAAATAAACGCCAAAATTATAATGAAAGAAGCGATAGCCTCTAAAAGAAAAATAAAAGAGGCTTTTTTAATTCAATCTAATAAAAATAAATGTATTGCTCATGCATCTGTAGATGTTAGTAATGTATGGCAATCGCTTCTTTGATTTTAAAGAACATTACATAAATAAACATAACATACGTAAAATTTAAAAATAATCATACAGAAAGTTTGGGCTTTTTGGTTTTACCTTATTAAGTAATTATCAGGTAGTAATTGTTAATTTTGAAGTTTAACTTAATATAATGTCATTTTAACAGAACGTCAACGATTTCTTGTAGACGTATCTGTTTTAAAAAGTAAAGTGTTCTCGAATAGTTCAATTTATATATTTTAAATAGTTCTTTTCTTGTTTCTTTATATTTTTTTGCTTCCGACGACGGAAAGAGAAAACTTTCCGAAACGTTAAGCATTTTTTTCTTTGTTAGGCAAATTTTTATTACTGTAAACACAACTTCTGACAAGCAGCGTCCGTTTAGGTTTAACGCAGAAGTGTTTACAAAAAATAACTATTTTATTTTGTAGATTTTTCTTGCAGTGCAGTGGCGACAAACCCTTAAGGATTTTTTTGGATAAACCACTTTTTATTTGTGCCATGTCAAAAATAATCCTTGTCGGAAAATAATTCAACATTTTTAACGTTTATATACAAGGTATTACCACATTCAAAGAAACCAAAAACAAATTTGTTATGAATTTTATCGCATCCAATTAACCTATATCCCCTAAACTGGAATCGCCAATGTGTATGTTTTGTTCCAGACTACACAAAACACGAAATTAGTCTATCGTGATGGCTGTCGATATCTGGCAAAAGCACAACAACAAGCCTCGGGCTTTTCCGAAATAGACGTAAATCTTGCAAAGCTGCTAAATTCTCGCGTCAACAACTTAAACTGCGGAGGTGATCTAGTAAACAGGCATTAACTTGACCTCTTGACGTTAAATCCTTCGCAGAAACTGGCGTTTAACCCCTACTTATCCCCACCTACCTCCTTTTAACAGATTTTTGTTAGAACAAACTAAAATACCGTATGATCGAAAAATGGGGAAACACCAAAACATCTCATCCCTGAGTGCGCCGAGACGACAAAATTTTCTATAAACTTTGGTACGACTGATATTGGAGATGGACAACTAACTACTGTAAAACCGTCTCACATACTGGCTTTTGTCAAAGCCCTGAGACTGTATGACGAGTTATAACTCAAGAAAGGAAGACACAATAGATCTACAATGATATACTTTAAATTAAAAGTGTCTTTCTAAAGATGAGACATGAAATTTGGGGTTCACATGCCGCCTGATTACATATTATAATCTAGATTTACCCTAAACACATTTTTTTTTAATTTTAATATTGTCTACTATATTACTTATAAAAAATTAAAGTATATATTTTTTTCATTGTTTACAGAGGAAAAACCGGCAGCCATGCAGCACGCCAACTCCACGAAGAGTTCCTCATCAACTTTTCTATTAAATTGCGGACTGCTGGCCGCCATTTTGGTATCGACCTTCGAACTGTCAACGTCGTGATGTCCATAGATGAGTAAAATAAACGAAACAAGGGAAAACATGTTTTATGGAGAACTCAGGCAAATGAGTTCAATCTGGCAACAACTTTACTATTCTTACTACTTAGTATTAATTAACTCTAATTTTTTATGGGTTTTATTTAATAAAAAATATCGATAAAATTTAAATACTTTTATAATTTAACTTATTAAAATTATTGAAGAATCATACCAATACAATATAGATTATCGATAGAAAAGAAATGATCATTTGCTTGAAGTTCTCTTTGGTACTTTGTATACATTATAATAATAATTATAATATGTAAGAAATTAAAATTTCTATTTTGTGATATTTCTTAAGGGTAAGTTGTTTATTGTAGACTAAATTTAAAAGCTTCTTGGTTAGTTAATAAAAAAAATCGAATAATTTATTCGGCGTCAAATTTTGATTATTGGCTATTCCTCGCTGGTTTCTCTGTGTGAAATTATTGTACAAATGCATGAAAAATAACAATACTCTGATAGACAGCGTGTTTATTAAAAGCCTATTCTAAATTCCAAACACACGTGCTTTGATTAAGGCTTGATTAAGGTGTGCAGAGCTTCAAAATTTGCCATAAAATAGGGAGCAATTTGTTACAAAACCATATAAATTATATATATCACTGTAATCACAAAACTTCAATCTATTTCCTCATTGTAACGAAATTTTAAATTATGTCTTTATTTTCGAGAAAATTTAGTCCAAACATAACGAATTTTTTGTCGATGTTTGACCATCAAAATCTTAAAAATAGAGAAGTTGTCTAAAAATGTGCTACAATACGGATATAGTATAATCGTTTATCTTTAATTTCCTTCTTGATTTGAATTGATTGAATTCAATAAAATAACACGGAAACGCTTCTCTATGTCAAACAGCTGCTAAAATTCCCCTCATTTAAATGCCCGTACGTTTAAATTACCACAGGCTCTGTTCTAATGCGATAAAACGCTTTATCCAGAAATTCAAACACGCACAGAGCCTAGAAGAGGATTACAAATAGAATTTGCTCTCGTTGCGAGGCGAAATCTTGAAAAGTTTACCCGATTTAACACTTGCAACGATCTGTTTTCTGTCAAATGCTATAACTGTCGTTTGTGAGAAAGCTTTCTCCATTTTATCGTCAGAGAAAAAGGTTTTTTTTTTCTGGGGCAACCTGTATAAAATTTAATTGTTCCTAGATGTTATATAATTAAAAGAGGGTGCATAGGTTACAATTCAAAGAGATTATTATATTAATTTTAGATTTTTTTGTCATCTTCATCAAAAAAAATAACTAAAAAACTGAAAATATCTAGGAAAATCTTTGTCTGAGGGGTGGGCAACCTTAATAATATTTTGAAGATTATTACAAAGTAAAGTAAAGATTTCCTGCCAGGGCTAATCTGGACGGGGCCTACTTTGTTTACGTGGAATCCGAACCGCGGTCCTCGGCCATATCATGGTCAGTGGCCTACCGAGTTAGGAAGTGTCTAAATTAACTCTTACTCACGATTTATCCGATCTCATCCGGCCTCGAACCGGCGCGGCGTGAATGAGCAGTGTGTATCAATAGATTTGGTTTGATTTACGTGTTGTAAAAAAAAAACTCACCGGTTTTTAAATAAAAAATATTTTAATATTTGAGAGATAGTTTCACCCCCTTAGAATTCGAGTTTCGAAAAATCCCTTCTTATCGAACCTCTACACCCTAAAGTCAATCTGTTTTCCAAAAATCAGCTTTTGACGTCAAGCGCTTTAAGCAAGATCGTGATTAATCAATGACCAGATTTTTCGAAACACCCTGTATACATTTTTAAAAAATCTTAAAATATGTAAAAAAACAAAATAAAATATACGCGTTTAAGCGTTTTTTCGGAAACTTGACCGTTTTTTAAATAAAAAATATTGTAATATTTGAGGGGTGGTTTTACCCTCTTGGAACTGGAATTTCGAAAAATCCAGTCTTATCGAACCTCTGAATCAACAACCAAGAAGCTTTAGATTTAGCTACAATTCATTAGATGATAATAAAATAAAATAAACTAATATAAAAAATCTCATCTCATATCAATGGAAAGTCTAACTGAAAGAAGGTTATTCTGTGTAAATTATGTACATATCATTATACGACGTATAAATTATATAAATATAATATATAAATATAAATATAAGTGAAACAATAATGAAATTTTACTTGTATATTAAACCGAGAAACAAATCTTCTTGATATGCCAAAAAATAAAATGTTTTATGTACTTATTTATAATTCTATTATACATATATTTTTTTTCGAAATACATATGAATGGTACATAAGGATTATGATGGTTATGTTTTATTTTCCTAGTTTCCTAAAGCCTTTTTGAACAAATAATAATAAAAGAAATAACAAAATATCCTTAATAAAATAAAAAAAAAGAAACTAACAAAAAAATAGTAACTTACGATAAAAAAAAATGGTGACAAAGACGGCTGGGGAATTACAATCGTTGATAATTTTGGAAAGGTCAATCCCTTTTTATTCTTTATTTTTCTGTTGGTGAATGGTGAAAGAGGCTCCTAAGGGAGGCTACACCATAACAAGGTGAAGATGATAATTTTTATATAGAAATAATCGAAATACTACTAACTTTACCAAAATAAAAGTAACGTTTAGACGTTTTTTTCTATTTTTTTATTAAAGAAAAAACACTATCTTATAAAACTAATTTCATTTCAAAACCGTCTGCCCAGCTTGCAGCAAAATGGACCGGATTTATTCCACTTCATCTGCCTTCACTTTTTAATTTCCTAATCTTATTTACCTAGAAACGGCGGACTGGATTTAAAATTTACTTATTTCAGTTCAAAGGGCAAACTTTGAGGAGATTAGGTACAGTTTCGACTTGTCCCGAAGCAAAATGTAGGTAAATTTATTTAGATTTTCTTGAAAAATGAAAGAAAAGAAATAAAAGATTTTATAATTTAGAAAAGGGTTGAAATTTTTTTTAACCACCCTAAAAATTGATGCTCCACATCTTTTTATTTTGTAATCTGATTTTTATGATTATGGTATCAGTATGAATATAGATTTATTGGTATTATTTTTATTATTTTAATGGCTTGTATTCTTCGGTTAGGTGGGTTTATACCGGGGTAAATAAAATTGTTGTTTTTTGCAATAAATTCAAAACACCCTGTCGAGAAAATGAGACGGGCATTTTGGATAAAAAAAACACTTTCCTGTAATCTTAGATTTATTTCTACCATTTAATTTTTTGAATTATCCCATTATCTCTATTCTTTTATGAGCTACACATTTTTAAGTAAAGTCTTGATTTCAGCGATTGTTTTATTGACAAAAACAATAATTTTATAATAATTTTAATAGCGTATAGATCAAGAAAACCTTTTACAAGAGCTAAGGCTAGCATTAATGGAGGAATATCCCTTAATGCTAGCCATTGATCTTCTAAAGTTTGTGGTGGACCTCGATGAATATCGGTTATCGAATAGGACACAACAGAGACAGCTTCATAAATTCTATCAAACAAACCGATAATTAAATATGATTATCTCCAAAAAAAAACTAAATGCTTAACTTTCTCTAAAGATCCGGTAAGATGCAAACTGGTAGTAGAAAACAAAATTATTGAGCCAGTATCACAGTTCAGATACCTAGGAATAGATATGTCGCACTACCATGATCCAAGGAAAGTTCTGAGAAGCCAGATAAATAGAGCAACGGCCATGTCAGGTTGTTTGAGACAAATAGTGTGGAGAAACGAATCGAAGCCTTATAAAAGAAACTAAGCTCTGCCTGTTTTGCGCTAAGATCAGTGTCTAAGGAACTTAACTCATCAAACTCTAGAATGGTCTATTATGCCCTTTTTGAGTCGCATCTTCGTTATGCCCTTCCATTCTGGGGTACTTGCTGCGCGACAAAATTTGATCGTATTTTCAAACTTCAAAAGAGAGCAGTTCGATACTTATTGGGACTAAACAGTAGAATTCGCTGCCAGAATTTCTTTAAAAATTTCAAAATACTGACTCTTCCTTCCTTATTCATTTTTGAATCCGTTTGCTTAATCCGCAAGCACATATTCTCTATTCCGGAAAGACCTTCTCGCAACTATCCACTTAGGAATGCGGAGCACGATATTTATCTGCCAACCCCGAGCTCAGAACTAGTTAAGGGCTCAATACTGTACAATGCCAAGAAAATGTACAATCATTTGCCTTCGAATATCAAGTCACTTTCATTCTTTCCCGCATTTCGCAAAGCTCTGAAATCATACTTACTGGAGAGAGCCCTATATGCGGGAAACGACTTTTTTGTTGATGTTTAATCATGAACAATTTAGAATTTTAATTTTAATATTTTGATCATCTCACACACTGGTTAAAGGTCTAGTATTTAATATTTTATAACTCTTGATTTTATGTTATTATAACATGATTTTATCCATTTACAGTTTTCCTTTTGTAAAATTTTCTAGATACGCCTGTGTTCTGCAATGTCCATATATGTTTTATTTGTAATTTTATGACGTAATTTTTTTTTTTTGAATTGATTTGTATTGTATGACATTTTTTGTATTATTTGTATATTTGTTTTTGTGCTTTTTTTGTTTTGCTTTGTCGGTGAAGCTGTTTTGGCTATTTGTACAATAAAGCGTTGTTTTTTTTAAACCCTTTATGCGAACAGACAGCAGAATTAAAATTTATAAGACCCACAATGAAATATGGCTTAGAAATACGAGAGAAAACAAACAAGACCAAAAGCATGTTAAGAGTCGCTGAAGCTAAGAACCAGAATGGAGAAGGCTAGAAGAGACAGAATTAGAAACACAAATATCAGACAACAATGTGGAATAAAGGACGTAGTGAGGTGGGGTAGCTCACCTCATAGCTCTTGAAGGGAAACCCATGGGCAACAGAGGCAACCTTAAAATGAACAGATCGAAAGATCTCAAATAAGTAAAAGAAGAAGACGATAAAAAACGAATATTTGTTACCACAAAGACGTTTTATTCTATCTTTGTGGCGCTTGCTAAACACGTGTCGTGGGAAACTTTCTAACTTTTCCAGATTTTTCTCGTTGGCTTTCCCGATGCGGAGACCCACCAATACGCGCCTGCCCATTTCCATTTAGATGAAGTTTTGATACCTATATCCTTTTCGCCTCTTTGATATACAGCCATCTGTGTAGTTGGGAAACTGTTTTAGTATTCGGAAATTTTCGCAGCCAGTAAAGTTTTCCACACACACGCTCGAGCTCAAGAGACGTTTTTCGTGGCCGGATTTTCTTTTCCCGGTTTTGTTTTTTACCGCAGCCAGCTTGAAGGAAATTGTTATTTTCCGATCTGGTTGGTTTTCAATTTTTAGGGTTTTTCTGGGAAGAGTTAAACAGAGTGTGTGTTAAATCTATTTATGATTTTT